AGGCATGTTAGTGCACTTATGCATACCCCTTACAGACCTCTTAAGAATGGGGTGAGGTCAACAGTAGATAGTCTAGGTTTTGTGGATTTGGGGAAGAAACCACAGTCAGGTAGTGCATTTCAGGCATTGACCCCTCTGTTGCTGAAGTCCTATTTTCTGCAATCGAGTTTGGAGCAGTTTACCTTGAATTTGTATCTGTTGTGCGCTCTTGTATTGATGCCTTCCTTAAACTACACGAGCCCTTCTTACCAAATAAGCCCTGTCATTGCCCATTTGGGGAATAGAATGCCAATTTCAAATTTCCACTCACTTCAGTCTCTTGTTCGTTCTCTCCATTTTCATTGGCCTAACGGAGCATTTTCTAGACTTTCCTTTGGATGACTGGCAGGCTGTCAAACTGTTCCTAAGGTGGCAGACCTCCCCTCTTGTGGGGACTTTTTTCAAATGATACTGCTGATTTTATGTATTATATGAGTTTCTTGAGCAAAAGTGAGAGAGAGAAAGTAGAGTTTGCACAGATGAAACGCATTTATATGCAAATTATGTTATTTTTGTCTTGAAACGTGTCATTAGTACTTTTTTTAGCAATCTGGAGAAATCGGTGGCATATGCATGCCACTGATTTCCCAAACTGCTTAAAAAGTGTGTGTGTGTGTGTGTGTGTGTGTGTGTGTGTGTGTGTGTGTGTGTTCATTAGACTCATTAGCCACTAATTGCTGAGGGGTAGAGAAAAATTCAAGAAATTGATTGGGCTCTAAATCTCTCTGGTTTCTTAGGCCATCCAGGGAAAAGGGCAGCTATCACTAACTAAGGCAATAGCCCGAATTTGGTGAAACTAAAGAGTGATGAGAACTCCTTCCTAGATGTTATCAGCTCTCCGAGGGAAACCAGGCAGAAAACCCAACTAGATGAACTACTTAATTGTAAAGCTATTTTTAACGAATCCTGTGAGTCTGAAGGAAAACTTTTTCATCTCCACTATTAACTGCTGGATCTATTAAGGTGGGTCCTGCCAGACTCCAAAGAATGAAGAATGACACTTAGTTACTTCTAAGTAATTCCTTTATTGCTGTCTGGCTACAAGCAGAATCTTTTCAGACTAAAGCAATTACCTGCATAACTATAGATATACCCTGGGAATTGCTATAGAGGGTCCCACCTTGGTCTCTTCCCATCTACTAGACGTTCCAATTTCAAACTACATTCCATCACAGGGATTATGGCAGGGGTCCCCAAACTTGGCTGCTTTAAGACTTGTGGACTTTGACTCCCAAGCTGGCTGGGGAATTCTGGGAGTCGAAGTCCACAAGTCTTAAAGCGGCCAAGTTTGGTGACCCCTGGATTATGGGATAATTTCTTATATTTGGTGGCAATGTTAGACCCCAAACCAATAAAAGAGGAAGAAAGGGAAAGAGTTACATTAGTAGACTAAAGAGATTAGAAGTAAGATTGTTATTGTTATGTAACTAATTGAGAAATAAAGAAATAATGGTATATTGTTAATGGAATGAAAAATTTGAAAGAAATGCTCTGCACTTAAATTGAATTAGAGGATGTATGCTGTTTATACCAAAATATACCAATGAAGAAAAAAAAATGAAAATTTGGTGTAACTTTGAAAGGGCAATTGAAGATATTATATATGTATTAAGGAAAAAATAACTATCAAGAGGAAAAATAATGTAAGAGAATAATTTGGCTGAAAGTGAAAACAAAACGATGATGTACAAAGGTCTATGTAAATGAGAGGATGTAAAAGAAAAGAAAATAAGAACAACTCTTTGTTCCTATAATATCTATCATTTGTATTAAAAAAAATAAAAAACCTGGAATGGAAAAAAAAAGACCCCAAACCAACATGGTCATTCTTGCAAGCTTTATTGTTTCGTACCTATCGACAAAATCTTGCCAGACTGACCACTCTACTGCATTGCCTCTACAATATATCTGTGAACTATTAGGGAGGAGCTGTCTTTACCCTCTTTCTCTCACACCAGATATCTGGCCTGAGTTTGGCTCTTCCTCCTCTAGAATACACCCCCTCCCTCCTAGGGATCCACCTCCTTACTTTGCATTTCATCATAGGCAATGTTATAAAGCCCAAACATTTGGAAACATGATTTAGAGACTGAAGCACACTTTAAAGTAGATTTCTCTTTTCATCTTAATTACTGTATTTTTGGACTATAAGACGCAGCGGAGTATAAGACACAACATGATTTTGAAGAGGTAAATTTTTTTTAAAAAAAATTTCCACTCTGCAGGCCTCCCAAACCCTCTGCATGCCTCATTTTTTGCAAAAAAAAAAAAAGGGGGGGGGCATACAGTGCTTTGGGAGGCTCGTAGAGTGCTCCTGGGGGCTGGGGCCATTTTTGCCCTCCCCAGCCCCCAGGAGCACTTTGCAGACCTCCCAAAGCCAATGCATGTCCATTTTTACAAAGGGGGCGGGGTTTCAGTAGGCCAAAAATGCTGTACTCATTGTATAAGACACACCCAGATTTTTACCATCTTTTTTGGGCGGGGAAGGTGCATCTTATACTCTGAAAAATACAGTAATGACTGAAACACATTTTGAAGTAGATTTCTCTTTTTGCCTTAATTATTATTGGCAGTTTCCATCGTCTTCCAGCTTCTAACCTAGAGTCTTTAACCACTACATCAGACTGACTTTCAAATATTACTAAACCTTAGATTTCTACACGTACACACAACTGGCTTTGTACATGGTAATAACTGCAAAGATTGTGTATACTTCTCACTGAAAAATTTGAACAATTCCTTCCACAGAAAAGTTAACAGTTAAGTTATAGGTACATACTGATGTCAAAACTAACTTAATATCAAAAAAACAAAGCTGACAGAATTTAATTCAATATGGAAATCATTTTTTGATTACAGTCTTATAAATGGGTTTCTACCAAGTCTAAAGTTGGGATTTTTCCTAAGGTAAGAATATGTTGAGAAACACCCAGGGAGGAGGGGTAAAATGGGAAATCAGCCTTGAATCATTGCACTGCCACAAGAGCTCCAGGAGTGATTTCCCCCCCTCCTTCCAAGCTCCGTAGAGCCTTAGCTTTCTGTTCCCAAGGAAGCCAAGAACCTGGGAAGATTCCTGTATTATAGGCTGAATATAATAAAGTAGTTTGCTTGAAATTTACATGGGAGGGTCTGGTTGCTTGTGTTTGACAGAATTTTATAATTAATACTTTTATGATCTTTTAAATTTACCAATTTTTCTAGATTTATTGCAAATATCTTTCTCTTTGCCTACAACTTATAATTTGAGTTATGCTGGCTACAATTGTTAAGTATTATGTAATAAACCAACATTAATTTTGACTTATTTTAGCATTGACTTAAACCTTCAATACCATATAAGACAGTGTGGGTGAACCTTTTTGGCACCAAGTGCCAAAACGGGAGAGCACGTGTGTGGGGGGAGGGGGGAGCCAGAAACCAGAAGAGCAATTCCCCAGAGTGCATGCATGCGCCGAGAAGCTGAGCTTCTGGTTTCCAGTGCATGCATGTGCGTCAGTCACTTGATCTTCTGGTTTCTAGTGCAGATGCATACAAAAAGACCAGCTGGAAGCTCAGCTCAGCACATGCATGCATGCCAGGGAGCTACTCTTCTGATTTCTGGTGCTCCTACACCTCTACGTGAAGACCAGCTGGGCGGCGCGCATGTGAGCACCGGAGACCAAAAGAGCAAAGGGTGACAGTTGATTTGTCTAGGCCAGGGGTCCCCAAACTTGGCAACTTTAAGACTTGTGGACTTCAACTCCCAGAATTCTCCAGCCAGCAGAGCAGAGCTGGCTGGAGAATTCTGGAAGTTGAAGTCCACAAGTCTTAAAGTTGCCAAGTTTGGGGACCTCTGGCCTAGAGAGATGGCTCTGTGTTTCATTTCTGGCACACATGGCATAAGTTCACCATCACGGATGTAGCACATTGCAATACGCAGTTTTTGAAATTTTATAACTTTATAAATCTTGTTTCTAATTGTTTGCCTTTTCTTTTCCCACTTTTAATACCACTTTTGTCTTTTCTGATTACACTTGTAAATTAAATATAATAGTGGTAATAGTAACAATTATAAAAAATGATGTAAACAAAAAGGGGGCTGAAACTAGATTATGCTCTCCCTGTAGGATGGCAGCTGATTAATAGGCCAATCTTCCACATGAAGATTGAGTATATATTGCTCGAACATTGAGATATAATCTGTTTCACAGAACTTTTTAAAGTGCTCCCTGTACTTGCTCAGGAGATCAGAGCCACCACACTTGCTTTTGAGTGTGATAAACTCCACTCGTGGTGAGCAGATTGAGGTATTCTCATTAAATTACCAAAACCCAGGAGTTTCAAAGCAAAAGTCCTTGGTTTTGGTGCTTTTGCTTATAGAAACCATTTTGTGCCTATCAGCTTGTGGCACTGCTGAGGTGTTATGGAAGACCAGGATGCTTCAATAGGGGCCTTCAGCTCTTCTGCATTGTTCGGTCTCNTCCTCCACATCTTCCAGAGCCGACTCATAGGGTCCCTCGCTATCGGAGTCTGTTTGCAGCTCCAGTGGCTCCTGCTGGGCCACCACAGACTTCTTTATCTTATTATTATTGGCCAAAGTTCCATTGAAATTAATTTAACTTTTGTATTTGTTGAATTGTCCTGTGGTGAGTTGTTCCATGCCAAGTTGACTATGGTGACTTGGTTGTGGTGAGTTGTCCCAATCCATTTTCACTGATGGTGCAGCATTATCTTTTCCCAAGAGGCCTTACTAACTCCACTCAATTAATCTTTTGGAACCAAAAACATTTAGCTGTAATGATACCTTTCTGTCTATTTCGTAACATTTCACAGACTTTTAATTCTTACTCTTTACTAAGTATATAATATTAGTGTTTTCTGATAGGGTTGTTTTGCATGTAATCTTCCCCCCATGATCACCATTCACAGTTGGAAGCTGATTTACTACCACTACAAGATCTAGTATTTATTAAGGATGAACATTAAGGATTAATCATTTCAGGGTGTTCAATCTGAAATAGCAGCTGTAAATTAAAATTTCAGCTTTAAGCTCATATAGCCCTGTTGTTTTTAATCCTTCCCCTAAGGTAAACATTGCCTCTTACCCTGCTATTGAACCCATCAGCATTTTGAGTAATTTTGTAGAGCTGGGGAAACCTAAGCATGTTGTCCTGGGAGCACGATCGTTCAAAGATTCCCAAGGTGAAGGGAGGTAATGCTGTGAACATCTAGAAAAAACAAAGGCAGTAATTAAAAATAACAGACCATTAACTTTATAAGCAAGTTGAAAAGCACACGTCATACCTGGAAAGAATCCCGACATTGTTAAAATCCACACCAACAACTTTACTAAATTCAGCTGTGCTGAATCTAAATTAGATGCCCGAAGCAGACAAGTTTTTATCATATAGTGCTGCTATATGCAAAGCAGAAGGCTGCAGCGGACTGAAGTAAAATATCCCTTGATTTCCATTCAATGAAAAATAAAATAAAAAAGAGGCCTCTAAATCAACTGCTTATAAAGGCAATTCAGAATACACCTTAAGCCAGCGGTCCCCAACCTTTCTGGCACTAGGACTGGTTTTGTTGAAGACAGTTTTTCTATGGGCTAGTGGGGGTGGGTGGGATGGTTTTGTGCACAACCTAAATTAAGATTAAGATTTAGTTTATTTGTATGCCGCCCTTCTCCGGGAGGGACTCAGGGCGGCGAACAACTCAAAGGGGG